CATATTTCTTTTGATTGTCCTGTTGGGTCATCAATGGGTCATCTTTATATAATGGGTCATCTTTACACAATGGGTCATCTTTACACAATGGGTCAACTTTACACAATGGGTCATCTTTACATAATGGGTCATCCTTACATAATGGGTCGTCTTTACATAAGGGGTCGTCTTTACACAATGGATCATCTTTACACAATGGGTCACCTTTACACAATGGGTCAACTTTACACAATGGGTCATCTTTACATAATGGGTCAGCTTTATAGAACGATGGGAGTAGCTACGAAATTAAAGCCAGAGGCTAATTTTTAAATAGCTTAGTTACAAGTATTGTTTGTTTGGTTTTGAATTTCGCGCAAAGCTACACGAGGGCTATCTGCGCTAGCCGTCCCTAATTTAGCAGCGTAAGACTAGAGGGAAGGCAGCTAATCATCACCACCCACCGCCAACTCTTGGGCTACTCTTTTACCAACGAATAGTGGGATTGACCGTCACATTATAACGGCCCCCACGGCTGAAAGGGCGAGCATGTTTGGTGTGACAGGGATTCGAACCCGCGACTCAGATTGCGAGTCGAGTGCCTTAACCACCTGGCCATGCCAGGCCCTAAAATTTTCAAAAGCAGAATAAATTTTTAAAAAATCAATTCATAAGTTCCATCCCTTAAAAGCACTCTCAGGAAATAAACTTCAAGGGGTCATGTGAAGAAATTTGGTAACAGAGTGTGGATTTCTATTGGAAAAAAAAATCAATGATCAAAGCTGAGTAACTATGAAAGTCATTGATATAAATAGAAAAATCGGTCAATGAATAAAACAACAATGATAAGTTTTCTTTATATAAAAATTATTGAAACTGTAAATTGTCAAGACTCACAATAAGTTAAACTATACAAGCATCTAAAACAAAATCGACATAAACAAATAATTTAAGAAGAGCAAAACTGTAATTCAACAGAGGTTAATAGAATTGTTTTTTGCAAAAATTAAAAGAATTATTAGAAGTTTTTTGTTTGTAATTAAGCACAAAGCTACACAATGGGCTATCTGTGCTCTGCCCACCACGGGTATCGAAACCCGGATTGTATGTCCGCAGACATACCGCTGTGCCACTGGGGGGCATTATCAGAATTATTTTTCAGAGTGTACTATAATAGACACACGAATTTTGTGAAGATCACAAAAATAACTTTCACATTTCTCGTTCATTTCCGATTCACTCCTGTGGAAACTCTTTATTTATCTGTGTATTATTTGTAATAATTGAAATAAACATCAAAATATTTACTATAAAAGTATATACTACCTTTACCTACGAATTTTCTATTTAGAGAACCGGGGTTCGTGAAATGCTTTACTAATTTATAATTTAAATGTTTAAATTATTTCAGGTAAAACATTTCACATTTTTTAATGTTTTTAGCTTTGTCTAAGACTTTTTCTGACTTTAATGTTGCCCCCCCCCCCCCCGTGGCACAGCGGTATGTCTGCGGAAGTCTACAGTTTTACCAGCGTGCCACTGGGGAGGAGAGTGTATCATTTTTATTAATTCAAACTTTAATCTTGTTTCACGTGACATTCCACTTTTGATTATTGATTGTAAATTGTTTTAAATATGAAACAATTACACTGTTCTTAAGGGATTTTTAACAGGATTAAGGTATTTCTTTATATCATAAGCATAGTTTGCATTTTTCTTTGTATTTATTTTTATTTATTTAATGAAGAGATTAGTGTTATTATCGGTTTTACAGAACTAACAAAAGTAAATAATTTGCTGTGAATCGATTTAATGTTTCTAGTGTTGGAATGCCAGGACCTCCATGGATTAAAAAACGGTGAACGAAACTGCGCTGACTGGATTTTCGGAAAAATCTGTTCTCCAACTTGTCAACCTGGATATGTGTTCTATACAGCAGTTTCAGATACATACGAATGCTCCCTAAACGGGGAATGGACCCCAAGTAACATTATTCTTGACTGCTCTGGTAAGTGAACTTTATTTACAAATATATATATACAAACACATACATACACAGCGTGGTCACAAGTAAATAGACACCACCTTTTCAGAAAAAAATTAAAATTTTCAGTCATATTCACATG